TGTTACATTGTTTTAACAATAATTTTCTGATGAAATTTTGTATCATGAAGGAACCAAAATTAAAGAGAGTCAAAGATGACATCTTACTAGGACCAGAATTTCCAATACATAGAGAATCTGTCAATGTGGCTGAAACGATACTAAAGACCTTAAAAAGCAAGCCTGATTGCATCGGCCAGGTTCTGTACAACTTGATATTCTTCAATTGCATTTAATAACTTATCGTTATAAATGATTATCATGTAAATTGTTCGTCTATAGGTGGACGTTCTTACGGATCAACAATATACTTATGCCGAAATGAGTGAGCGCAGTATTAAGTGCGCACTTTGGTTGAAGAAGCAGGGCGTAAAGCCGGGTGATATAATCGGTCTTTGCACCGACAATAATCTGGACGCGATTATAGTATTGTTGGGCATCATGTATTTAAACGGCAAATGTAATACGTGGGACCATGAACTCTCCTTAAGTATGTAATCTTGCTTATTATCGCTATTCCATTACAACTATGTCCTAAAAGATTATATCGTATAAAAATATATGCATTTAACTATATTTGTCTCGTACATAAAGTAAAAGAAAATTTAAACTTAGATTTATAAAACGTTATTTAGTAACATATATTTTAGAAAATTACAATAAAAGTTTAGAATTTATATAAAGTTTGTCAGATTCGCATTTTCTTTCGAAGAATTAAAAAAAATCGATATAGTGTAACTTTTAACATTTTTCAATTAATCATTTATTTATTTATATTTTAGCGACGGCACGATATTTCCTCTCGTTGACATCACCAACCATAATTTTTACGATTCCGTTGTCAGCCGCGAATTTAACCGAAGCAGCGAAGGAATTGAAAATGGATGTAAAAATAGTGGTCATTGGCAAACTAGATGGATATGAATCAATAGACGATATCTTAAGGGATCACGATAGTCGCGAAATTGTCGAATTCAAATGTACTCCGATCAACAACCCGGACGAAGTTTGTCTTATTGTTTGTTCTTCGGGTACTACGGGTATGCCAAAGGCTATTGAGATGTCGCACTCTGCTATGCACAATCGTCTTCTTTCTATAAAAGTTAAATGGTTGAAAGGACACGTTTGCATGTTTACACCGACATTACGTTGGCAATACGGCGTTATAGTTGCATTTAAGGTCATTTTGGCATATTCACCGAGAATTGTTGTACCAGACATTGTGACAGACGATAATGCGATTGATATGTATTGCCAGCTTATCGAAAAATATCGAGTAAGAGAAAAAAGAATAATTTTTAAGCAAAACTAATTAAAGTTTAATGTTTAATTTCGATGGAATTAAAGTTAAAGAATAATGTGATTTTAATTATTAATATTATATTTCACGGTAACTTTCAGGTAACGTGGTTTGGTACTGACCCATTTATTCTAATCCCGTTGGTTAAGACGGACGTATTAGAGAAATATCGATTGTCAACATTAAAAATTATAATTACATCCGGTGCTATTTTCGCAAAACAACACCAAGAAGCATTGAGAAAAAAATTACCACATGTTATAATTAATAATGGATATGGTAAATCATCAAATTCAATTTACAAAAATTACCTAATCAACCTTTTTTTATCAATTCAGTTTGTTTCTGGTCACATTAAAATTTATATATAACAAATTTTCCAAAAATATCTCACATATATTTTTTGCGTTTCTTAATTAATTATAACTATGTTAATTAATTAAATATTAGACATTGATATTAAAAATTAGATAATAATAAATATGTTAAATTCCGATTCTTCAAAAATGCTCTTTAGTCGAATAAATTAAAAAAAAAAACATTAAAATCTTAATAAAAAATTTAAGTAGATACTTTGAATTTATTTACAAGAATGCGAGATTCCAATCTTAAGCTTTTGCTGTTAATATTACGTAAATATTAATGCTTTGTGCTAGGAACTACCGATGTAGGAGGTGAACTCACTGATCAAGATGAGCATAGTAAACCAGGATCTGTTGGTTATCCCGTATTTAACGTTCAAATAAAAGTGACAGATACAGAAACCGAAAAAATCTTGGGGGTTAATCAAGTTGGAGAAATACGTGCTAAAGCACCCTCTGTAATGAACGGTTACTATGGAAACCCTGAAGAAACCAAAAAAGCTTTTGATTCTGACGGTATGTAATTTAAACATTCAATCGAAACTGTCAATTAGCAATACTAATATTTAAATGACCAAAAACTGCAATAGAGAGACAATAAATAGCTAAAATCGGCAAAACGTTTCAGATTGGTTATGCACCGGCGACTTAGGTTACTACGACGATGATGGAGAGGTCTTTATCGTTGGTAGAATATCAGAGTTCATTAATTTTAGATCAATCAATGTCTCGCCCGCGGAAATCGAAAGTGTTTTAGAGACTCACCCTGCAGTATTCCAAGCGGCGGTAATAGGAATACCTCATGAAATCGATGAGCAGCACCCAATGGCTGTCGTCTCTGTAGTGCCACCTAAAACGGTAAATATTGCAATCATTTTTAATTATGTTAAATATCAAGCATTTAAAATAATAACTTTTTTGAGATTTATATTAGCAGACATCATATTCATTTATCAATTTATCTTCTGTTCACAGATAACGGAGCAAGAGCTTATCAGATTAGTGGAAAAGAATCTGCCAGATCACTGCAGACTCCGAGCTGGTGTCAAGTTCATGGATGAACTTCCGCGTACAATTACCGGTAAAATCAGGAAGAAGCAGTTGCAAAGTATGTTTGCGAATTAAATTGCGTTAAACTATACATACATTATTAAAAGATCATATATGTAAGCAAATAATAGTAAATAATAAATAAATAATAGTAAATAATCTCCATGAGACACAAGAAACGTGATAAGAAAGATACCGATTTAAAAATCAGACTCACCGAGCATCCTGTAAAATGGAGCAGCATCCCTCACTCATCTCAATCATCTCAATGGAGAAGCTGCAAATATAAGAAGCTGTTTAGAAGACGCCACGAATAATTATTATCACAATCTTAATAATATTTTCAGCAATTAATTAAACATTTCTATACCCCGTCGGTTACTATAATATACTTACAATTTAGCGACGATGATAGTTTGCCGTCGCTGGAGGGGAAGAGAGATCAAGACCGAAAATTCAAGGCGCGATTTACAATCGGCACTCCCGAGATTTTATTCGACGTATACCGACGACATTACGCGACACTACCGACCCGAAGGCTCGAAGATCAAAGATTGTCAGATTGCGAACGGGATAACTTCGTCCTGTCGACGAGAAGAGAAGTTACGATCGAACAATCACGATTTACATCGATCGTGCGCGTTAATGCCGTTAATTAATGCATGATACGATCGCCCGATATTTCATTCGGCACTCCCGAGACTTTATTCGACGTCCCGGCGACATTACGCGCGACACTTCCGACACCGAACACCGACTCGAACGCGCGGATTACTTCACGCGGAAGCCTGCCAGGGCGAACGAGACAACTTCATCCTGGTCGACGAGAAGACAGGTTACGGCGGAGCAACCGCGATTCACATCGATCATGCACGTTAATTAACGCGTAAAGACGATCGCCCGATATCTCATTCGATGCTCCGGAGATATTATTCGATACTAACGGTACTAATTTGCCCGAACGAGTCGCTTAGACGCGTAAAATCGCTGAAAAACGCGGAGCGATCTTACTCCGATAAGTAACTACGGCGACGCGACGCGAGAGACCGATTGCAAGATGGCGGGGCGCGGGGCGCTTGGCGCTTGGCGCGAGGCGCGAGGCGAGGGGCGCGGGACGCTCAGCCGAACGTATATACATATACATATATTGCGATCTATAGACTATGCAAGGACTCTTTAGCGTTCTAATGTATATAACGTTTATAATTATAATTTTTCCATTAAGAAATCGTTGTTACGATACAAATAGCTGCAAATACTCAAAATATGATGCGGGATTAATTGCTTTAAATAAATAGGTTCTTTTTCGGAATTTGAATTGTTCGTAAACGGAGTTAACTTCAACCGAACGGCGCCGTTTTGCTATTAATGCGTTTTTGAGACGCGATACTTTTATAATCAATTTATATTTCGGAAGAGGGAATTAAATGAAGGATAATCGACGAATCTCACGTCTTTTACTTTTAAATTATTATTATTATTATTTAGATTATTTGCAATACAATAGGCAACGATACTTTTTCACGGAGCTGCTTAGATGATCTCGACGTCGTTAATAAGAGCGTTTACAACGCAGTCGGAGAAACGCCTGTGCACGCCTACGTAGAACGTTAGTAGAGAATCTAGACAGCACTTCCGGCAAACAACGGAGCGGCAACTCAGTAACGCGAAGCGACTTTGCAACAATACATTCGGCTTAATCGGGCAGAACAGCGCGTTCCGCATAGGGACCCGTGTATATCCAACAGCGAGCTTAACTGCACCGTTCGTGCACGTCGAATGTACCACTCGGCTCGCGGTTGGGTTTTCGGTCTTTCTTCTTCCAGAAGGAGAGAAAGGAACCTCTTTAATCCTTCGCGGTTCTACCACACAATAAATACGGCACGATATAATTGAAAGGTGTAGGAATCTTCCGCTTTTCAGGATTTGTGGGATTGAAACATTTCTCACATCCACTGATTTGTATAAATTGCCAGGATGTCTTTGATAGAAATAGAGATGTTAGTTTTTCAATATTACTACCTAAATCTGAATAGTCACTGATGCGTTAGTCTAAAGTATGCCACTCCAGTGACTTTTCACTAATTCGGATTTATAATTAGAGAGTATAGAGTTTCGCGAGGCGCTCGACAATTAATTCACGTCAACTAGCGTGAATTTATTGAAAGAATGAAGAATAAGCGAGACAGAGGATGAGTTTAGACGCATCTCGCACAACGATTGCGAGATCGAACGGAAATTCTGGTTCGATCCTCTAGCAGTCTAGCTTCCTACATGACACAGGATCCACAACGAGTCATTATCAAACAATAGAACGGCGAAGGGAAGAGGAAGCGATTTGAAAGGCGCGACGTGCATTAGGGAGAGACAGCTCCTGTTCGCCAGACTTCGATTACTGTAGCTGTAGATTTACCGAATGTTCCATTCTAGAGAGATTCTAATGCCTAGCTTTCAACTGGGTTACCCTATTCCCGAATTCCCGTGAGATCCAATTCGATCACTGTTTAGCTATAGAACGCAGAAACCTGGCAGTATGGTGTATTCTCTCAAGCCTTAACTTAAACTGACAATGAGTAAAACTCTCAAAAGCTTGTAATTTTCAGAAATATCCGAAAATTCTTTAGATTTAGAATTAGAAACGACAATGTGCCGAAATGTCATAATCCCGAAATCTTAGAAATAAGACAATGAATGTCCCGAAAAGTTATACCGTTCAATCGTATATATACTTTAACGACTGCCGTTAAATTAACCGTAACGATAAAAACCATATATAGTTTCACGATCGACATTATATAAAATTTATATTATAAATTGATAATATTAAGTGGTACAATGGCGTTTTTGGCGACAGTGAACAAACAATATAAATTTACCTTATATCTTGACGAGAACATATTTATTCCATATAATTTTAACCAAAAATGACTCGGATTTTGATATAGTTCCGGAGTCGGCGCGCAACAAAAATACTTAACAAAAATCCATGAAATCAGCTTAAAAAAAACATTATAAACGAAAAAGAAGGCCAAAATTATCTTGTAGTGTTTTTCTATCATTTTTCTTTATATTATTTATTGCCGAAATATTGGGTTGGCAAATAAGTTCGTTCGGTTTTTTGACTGGTTTTGAATGGAAAAAACCAAACGAACTTATTTGCCAACCCAATATATATACGATAAAAGTTTAATCCTTTTCTAAAAAGGAGATGTGAAGTTTATTGTTGCCGCTTTTCCGCGATGCCGATTGGTTTTCTTGCTGCGCTTACTTCATTTGCAGCTGTCATTGTATATTTTGACAGTTGTGTATAATAGGGTTAATAGTGAAATGTTAAAGATAAATAGCGCGCGCGTAGCGCGCGTCTGTAGTGTCTAGTGAAGATAAAAAGTCGCTCGGCGCTCGTTTCGTTAAGACCTTGCGCGCTCTCTTGTCTTGGTAATCGGAACTGTAAAATTGCTAGTATTAATAATGACTAATTCCAATAGGACAGATTTCAAACTAACGAGTGCTTGTTGAATCGTCTTTCTATCGTCTGCGGTTGCCGAGATATAAGCGTTTAACAAAAATAAAAAATCGTTTAGCGCCCGAATCCTTAAAATTTTGCACGCTTTCTGGTCTTAATAAACGAAAATAAATAATTGCCAATAATAAAAGTGAGCAATTCTGATAGAGTAGAGCACGATCTAAAAAGTGCTGTTTAAATCATTTTTCTGTCTTTTACGATTGCCGGAGATATAAGCGTTTAATGAAAATGATGAATGCGGCGAAGCGCGCGATTCTTTTGGCCAGCTCGCGCTTTATTGCTTTAATAAACGAAAGTACATAATTGCGAGTAATACAATTGAGTAATACCAATAGGGCAAAGTACGAAGTACAAAGTCTTTTTTTAATCATTTTTCTATCATTTACGGTTGCCGAGATATAAGCGTTTTATGAAAGTCAGAAATCATTTTTACGGCACGCGCGTACTACTTTATCATGTTAAATAAACGGAAGGACGGAATTGTTAGTAACAAAATCGAGATATTCCAATAGCGCAGAGTATAAACTGAACAGTCCTTTTGGAATCATCTTTATATCTTCGGTGGTTGCCCATCAGATATTTGCGATAAACGATAGGAAATAGGGAAGACTTTCTCGCGCCAAGCCAGCGACACATGGCCTTGACCTACTTGAGCGGCGGGCGGTTGTCATGAGCTGTACATTGACCTAGATTCTAGATTGTCCTTGACCTAGATCGCCGAGTCCAAGTGTGTGTGGTCACGACAAGAGTAAAGTACATTAATGCAATTAGTTGCACGGTCGACTTTGGTCTTGTCGTGACCATAATTTTTATGCATTTTTTAAACAATGAGCATCAAATTCCGGATTTGCATATTTTAAAAGCACACAGCATATTTAAAAACGGACGAGTCTATTAATATTCATAAAATACAAATACGAAGATATTGATTATGTACCAAAGAAAACGCGTTTGACGCACAAACACAAAAGTTGTAAGCAAATTTTGCTTTTGCTAAATTATCTCAATTCTTTACAAGTATGCAAAAGCTTAGATGCTTTCATTTTTACAACTTCCTCGGATATAAATTCTCGATGTAGGCTTAACGAGTATTATCAACTCATTGCATCGATTTTAAAAGGATACTCATAGAACTCTAAATGTGTATTAAATTATATCAAAGAATACGTGCTTCGGTTTTTAGTATTTTCTACTGAAATTGTACATAGGCTTAATAATAGACTTGTCCACCCGTCCACAGAACGGTTCTTTTGGAAAGACATGAAAAATACGCGGAAAGAAAGTAGAGCCGAACGAGCAATGATTATACTGTTACTAATCTCAATATCTATCGTCAAATACATAGCCTTTTGCGGTCAAATTATTCTACGAGTTTCCCTCATTTATTGGCATCATCCCTACAACGCATATCTACATGCGAAATCAAAGGAATTTCTTGGTAAGTAAATGAGCTGGCCATAAAAATTAGATCCTACGACGCTCGCGATCTATCAAGGTACTCTATCCCCTTTCTTAGAAAAATCGCGTGTTTCGCTCCGCGGGCCAATCAGCGTTAAGCGTCGAGCGCCCCAAGTTATCACGGGATTAATGAGGTGATCTAGCCGCGTCACCGCGTCAGCATATTGCGAATGGCGAC